CTGCTGCTTCAGACCTAGGGAATTATGAGGAGTAAGCTGTTTTCTATTTCTCTCTTTCTCAACCATGCACGTTCATTTAAAAAAATGTGCATATAAATAATGAAAAAAAATTATGTACTACTCAATGTGCTTCTCCTTTTGCCACAGTGGGCAGGAAATCAGAGAAAGAAAATCAGTTTAATCATGACAACCATCTAATTTCTGGTTCCTGGTGACATCTACTCCCCTCTATTTCCTCTATATGGTCTCTGTCTCATTCTCTCTTTCACTGTCTCATTTGTGTTATGCTTAAATCATAAGTTGTCTCATGTCTTTTTTGAATAAAGGGGGTACAAATCCAAATGCTCAGAAATTAATATGTCCAACAAGATAGTAATAATACTTCTATTGGATAGTAAAGACTATCCAATATTTTTAGGAACTCCATCCTGAAGTAAATCGTTTTTTAAGCAATATTTCTCATCTTCTTGAGATTTAGGCTTAACCTAAGGTAGGAAAGTAGTCCTGCTGTTTATTACCTCAATTACAAAGAATATGAGTGTTAGCAAAGTATCTCATTAAGAGCAATTGCCTTCCTTAACTTTCCTATAGTACTTTGGAACTTCTTAATTTTCCCCTATCAAATCTATCCTGTTAAAACTGTATTATACTTGCTTATGGATCCTATGTCCTATTAGATTATAAATTCCTTGGGGCAAAAACTGCATAATCTTTCATCTTTGTATTACAGTGACTTTCACACAGCAGGTAATGAATAAATACCTGTTACAGTGAAATTGGGGGTTCTTAAAAAAGGAAATAGGGGGAAAAAAGGAAATAGGAATGAGTGGGATTACAAATGACAACAAGAAATCAAGATTCTAGAAGGCATGTCTGAAAAATAATTCCTTACATATCCTCTTTGTCAGATTGTCAAATGGAGAAACTGCAAAAAATCTGGGAGGGAAGAGGGAATAAGGTCATCTACTCCTACCCCCTTATTTTACAGATGAGGAAAATGCAGGCTTACCCAAGGTCATATAGGTAAGTAAATGACCATCAAGGTTAGAACCCACCTCCTCTCCAAATTCAGTGTTCTTCCCACAAAGAAAAGGTGCAAATGAAGGCTTAAGTGTTAAAGAATGTAATGATGCCAGACCCATAGACTGAAAAGTAGATGTGGTTCAACCCATGGAATGAAGTCTTCCCTGAGGTGGCCTGGTGATCTAAAAGGGGGGACTGGGGGAGAAGAAAGATTTATCTTACCCAAACATACTGACAGAAAATCGGCACTGAATATACAGCCAAAGATTGCTATTTAGGGTAGAATGTCAAAATGGAGCAGAAGCAAGGCCTGCTATGAGTGACCCTCTTTTCTTCATGGATGAGAAACTGAATTAGACAGCAACCATTGAGGCAGAAGCAGAATTCTGCCTGATACACAGTAGGTGCTTAAATAAATGCTTCTTGATTGGTCCTAATAGAAATGAATAAGGCCAATTCCTTTTTTAAAGTAGTAGGAGGGCCTTTCTCCATGATTTCTGAGAATATACTGTAACTTGTCATCTCATCTCATTCAGCTACAATTTTCTCAACTTCAAAATGAAGAATTAGCTTACATGATCTAGTTCTAACATTTTAGGGGACACATGCACAAATCCTCAGAAAAAGATTTAAAAACATTTCAAGTAAATATGCCAAGGATAATATCAGAGAAGAGGAAATAGAGCCTGACCTTTGAAACCCAATCTCCTAGTGAACCTTCAGATTTTGAGATGGTTAACTACAAGATTGGAAGACAATCCTTACTCAATCTTCTGAGCAGGCCTTTGGGCACTGAGTATTATAGTGGGAATCAATAATGCTTAATAGATACCACCTAGGTCTGTAGGTAACACTCCTTGGTTAAACTGTTAAACCTGTTAGATTTTATATCTTCTAGTTGAGAAATGAAATGAAAGAAAAAAGGGGTGAGAATTAACCCCTTTTTCTAGTTTTAGTTTGGTAATGTAATACATCAGTTGGTTGCTTTAGAATGTGTACAAGTAGGGAAAAAATTGAATATTTGCAGATATTGCATATACTTGCAATGAGAGATTCAAAAGAAATTAAAAATAAAAACAAGAGTTAGTTTATAAATGGCTGTGAGAGTAGAAAGAATGCTGTTGGAGTGGAAATGTTGCAAAATTTATGAGAATGGGAATGACCACATCCCTGGTGTCACTAGAAACTGAGGAAAACAGTATATAGCTGGTCTTATGAGCAGGTACCATTTTTATAAAACATTATCTCCCTGTTTAATATACTTATTTCTTCAACGAAACTACCCCATTAACTAGCAACTGTGGGGTTGTGCGGCAATCTTTAAATATGTATAAAAGCAAAGAGCAATGAAGTCCCTAAATTATTCTGTCCATTTAACAAGAACAGAATTTATTTGTACTCTGTAGAGAGATTAAGTGTTACTAATATAGACCTATACTCAGAAACAATGAGACTAGATTTTGAAGGAAAATTAGGTAAATCTGTTGCAGCCTACATACTTGGTCTTTTTTGGAGTAGAATATGATTTTGGTTTGTACCCACAGTGACAATGCTTTTTTCTAGTTAATCAAGCCCTGGCCTTTCAGATACTGTTCTACCGAAAGCTATTTTTGTACTGCTCAAGCTTCTTCATTATTGCATCATGTTACCAAAGAAGAACAAAACACCATGGTAGCCACTTAACCCCTAGAGAGACAGAAAGGTCTGCAGCTGATTTTAAATCACAAAGCAATTCTTTTGTGTACTGAATTGGCCCAAGGCTAAGGAGGTGGTGCAACCGCTGGCTTCCCTCATGACCTCCATCTGTGGGCTGCTTTACAATCATGCCAGAACAGGAAAACCTTGAAGCCACTCTGATGTGGGGGGCACTGTTCCTCCCTCTCTGCTTCTCAGAGGATCGTCCTGCCAAGTCGAAAGAAACCAGATTCTGAAGAGCTGTTGCAATGGCAAACATACTCAGAGAAAGCCAGAGCTTTCTTGGTAGGGAAGGAAATGTGGTTAACCTTAATTGGACCTGGGGTGCAAATGGAGGTACCAAGAAGCACTCCCACTGCTGCAATTGAACTATGAGCTTTCTTTCCTCTCTTCCCCTACATTCCGCCCAAATGGTTTGGCTTTGTTCAGAAATTCAGTTGGCCTGAAAAGAGGTTTTTCTTTGGTTCTGAAGAAGACTGTAGAAAGGGTATATTATGGTAAATGTGATGCTATGGCTTTTTAAAATGGGAATTTAGTGCTAATAAAAGTTGTCAGACCAGTGTTTTCTAAGCTGTGCCTCATTTATCATCAATGATACTGAAAAGTTCTACAACTTCTCTTCCCCTTCACCAGTCCTTTCTTTCCAACCTCTGATAGAGGGAAAGAATCTGCATTAGTTATAGTGGTTGAACAATTCTTCTCTTTAAATCAAGAAATAACCTTAAGGTTAACAATAACATTTTTTTGGGAGGGGGCGGTAACTGGGGGTAAGTGACTTGCCCAAGGTGACCCAAATAGTACATGTCAGAGGCCAAATTTGAACTCAGGTCTTCCTGACTCCAGGGCCAGTGCTCTATCCACTGCACCACCTCGCTGCTCCAACAGTAACATTTTAATTCGAAAACTTCCTGAGACTTCACTCCACATCCTAGGCTGGCACATATGTATTATTGTAAAGATTACTACCTACGACGGATAACTCTAAAGGTTGAAGTTCTCAGTCCACAAAACAGGCATTCAGAATCACCTGAGCTGTCAATAAAGGCCTCATAAAGTTATCTATGAAGTGACTACTAGAAAAGAACTAGACTAAGAATACCCACCTAATTCACGGACGGCTAAGTAACAAACAATGATATAAGTTTTACAAGTCACAGTCAAGGGGTTCTATTCCAGACCATTTCCTCCTAAAACACTTTAGCCGTAATACCCTTGAAGTACATTTTCCTCCCTCCCAACTGCCTGTCTCCAACTGCCCCCATCCCCAGCAGAGACCGCTTGGTGCTTGGGTGATGGCTATCCTAACAAATGAACCTGGGCTGAATGTTAGCAGGAGACCAAAACAACACAATTCTGTGGCCCTACAGTAAGTGTCCAGCCTCTCCAAAGTGTACCAGGGTTATACCTTTAATATTTATGTTTCTTAATGGCTTGCTCATCTCATGAAATTTCACTTCCATTACAATTCTCTCTCTCTCTCTCTCTCTCTCTCTCTTTCTCTCAGGGTCAAAGAGTTTAACATCTGCACATATGCAGTCTCTTGCCAATTTCTAGTTAGTGATATGGTACTATTAGCTAAGATGCACAAGTTAGAAAAATGAGGCTCTGAGAGGAGTCTCTTATTACATATATAAAATGTTAAATGATGACTGTGGTAAATGAAAAAATTTCTTGATATCTAATGCACTGCTGAAATGAAATTTTTTTTTAGGAAGCATGAGAAAACCTTTGGTGAGAAGTCTTGTTAAATGAGTAAAAAAAAAAATCTTAATTCTATTTCTATAAAGTTAATCAAAATAATTCTACTACGTAACCATCACGACTATTACCATGCAGAAATACATAAGGTAGTAACCGTTTCTTAATAGTAAAAATGCAATTAGAAATGCAAACTTGAGTGTTGAGCCATTTTTCTTGGACCATAGTCAACTCTTTGGTGATATACTCAATACCAATTCCTCTCAGGAAAGCCTAGGCACAGTTGCCTCAGCAAAAGATTCTCTTTAAGCTCCACCTTGTATCAAAGTTACCTGCAGACCAGAAGGGTCTCTCCCAGTTGGCTGGGGTGGTACTGCAGATTGAGCAGACTGTGAGTCCAGCCAGAGAAGAGGTTATATTAATTGGCTAAATCTGGTATGTACCAAGCATATGGCCACTAGTTTTTAGCCAAAACACTTATCTAAAAAAAGTTATGTATGATTTAAACAACAACAAAAAAAGGAAATCATATTTTTCTTGAGCGTTTTAAATCCACTCCTTTCTAGGGGCTTCAAAATTCTTACCTCTGCTGAAGTAGAGTTTTCACAGTATATTCCTTGCACTAAGTCAATAAGAGCACTTGAGACAAGTTCCACGACCTGAAAAACAAAGGGGAAAAAAATGAAAAGAAGCAATTTGAAAAAATCATTTATTCTCATCTTGTCTCAGAACAGAACACAGGGTTCAATGTACTGGTAGGATTATGTGGCTTGACAGAATGAATAGGGTTACCAGCAAAGATCCTGGCAAATAACCCTGCCCATCTGAAAATTAAAATCATGATCCAAAGCCTTCAAACCCACTGTCTTACAATCTTAGTGTGCCATTAATAAACATGAAAATCTAGTCGAGTCATTTGGAACATCTATTTAAATTTCAGCTAATCAATGAAATCTTAAATCAATCTAATTTTTGCATGTTTATTTCTGTCTGGCAGGTAATTTTTTCAATGCCTCATTCAGGACACTGTTACAATTCCAATTTTCATTCTTAATACAGAAAGGGAAGACAGAATTGAAAGCAGAGCTAACCTTTCAAATGTGATCATTTGGCATTCTGCTATTCTTGAAATGTGCTGGGGATGTATTTAGTGCATGGCCCGAGGGTCAGCTGTACCACATACACTGAAAATGTCTGCAACCCAGCAATGTTTAAATCATATTTATCAATCTGTATTGTCTTGAGGATTCAGACTGTCAAAAAAAAAAAAATTCAAGCAAAGCAGAAAAATCTGAACTTGTTCCAGAACATAAAACAAGCAGTCAATGGTCTCCCTGGAACTACTGTACAATTTAGAGTTGTTTGCACAAACTATCTTAATTCAAGAGAACAAAATTATGGAGTTTGTTATAAAGTTCAACACAGCCTTTTCAAATAAAGGTTCCTTAAGGCAAGCCCATCAAGGCTCACAAGTTTTAACTTCTTGAGCGTTTAATTTCCTATATATAATTTTCTATCTGATCCCTCTTCTTCACTTCCTAAAATTTAGCTTTAGTTCTGATTGACTTAAAGGGTTTTGTTGTTATCACTCTTGTAATTGAAGACATTAAACCGAAGGATACAAACCCAAAGAAAAAATACGTGAGTCTCAGAACTCATACCTGATAAATATTTTTGGCTAAATCATTTGCCTCAAAATCTCAAGACACAAGCATTTATCTCTATATATTATATTTACTGACATACTGCATAACATACTGGCACAGATGACTGTACAAATTCTGCTGATTAAGGCACATTTTTTTTTCTAGTAACACAGATAGGTTAATTTGTAAGACTTATAAAAACAGTCTTTTTTGTTTTTTTTAAATCATGTTGTCCTTTAGGTAACCAAATACTTAAGAAATATTGTAGCAATATGAGCTGCATAGGAACTGAAAGGACAATGATCCTACAGTATTACCAGATGTGTTGAGTTATTTAAGTGGGGAACAGAGAAAATGAAGGGATTTTTTTCCCCCTAAAGGTATCAGATAAGCTTCATTCTCAAATCCAGAAGGATTGAGTATCACCAATAGGTCTATGAAGGACTGTAACTAAATGCGAAGCCTCAGATTATATTACCATTAATACAAGCACCACCCCAAGATTCTCCTGATGGCTAGGACACATAATACAGATCAATCACTCACTAAAAAATGTTATGGTTTGTGAAATAGCCCGAGTTCTGAGACTAACACTGGTAATATGAAGAGGAATTTATAAAGACAGAGTACTACTCTAAATGTCAAAATGATACTATGAACATTTCACAATAGGATCGCTGGACCTTTCCCCTACTTTCTTGAAACTCTAGACAAAGTAGAAGCAACAAAACATTCTTGGGTGTTTCCCCCCACCTTTTATTCAATTAGCAAGGACAGGCTGTCTCTGACTTATACACCTGACTTACAAATAACCCAAAACTGCTGCCATGGAACACTTTCCATCTTCTCCCGCCCCAAACTCTGCAGATCCTGCCACCACTGTACACAATGGGTAGGTTCCAAAAAGGTGGAAGGTAAGAAATAGAAGAAAAAAATTAAAGAAATTAATTCCTGAGGACAGAACTGCCTGCCCTGCCCAATGCTGGCCCCTCTGCTCAAAAATATGTTTCTCCAAGTAGCCTGATTATTTTTGCTTTACTTTGATATGCTATTTAAAATTCTGCCACTTAGTACATTATTTGGACTAACAAGTACCCTCTTTAAAATTTTTCAAGGGGCTATCATTCATATGCTTTTGTAAATTATTTAAATCAGATTGCTATGTAGTATACATGGTGGGAATAAGAGTTTTGATTGGGGTGAAGGAATGGAGATAAGCCAGGAAAAGTAAATTTTAATTTTGAAGCATGGAAAGACTTGGAAGGGAGAACCAGGACAAGGCACTAGGAGTGCAAGGGGTAGAAGAAAGATGTGGAAATAAAAATGGAGAACCTGCCAAAGACATTTCACCTATTATGAAATTTTGCCTAGGGCCAGTCCTATACAAGGAAGAGGGAGGTAAATTATATGCCTCCTCTCCCTTCCCATATTACGAGGGCCCCGGTTTTCCAGTATATGCAGCGCAGGCTAATACTGTATTTCACCTTCAATTTGCATTAAAAAAAAGCTTTTGTGGGCTAGCCTGGTAATTTCACAACCACTTAAAATATAATTCCTATGAGAAAATGAGTGCCAAATTCCAAGTAATTAGCTCACAAATAAACTTTAGAATATTTGTAAGTTAGGGATGGTCTATAGTCACTTTCCTAAACTTTTAAATAAGTTGTTTTAAATGTATACTGCCATAAGATAACACAAGTTTTGATCCTTATCCTAAAAAACTTAAATCTCTCCATCTCTCCCTAGCCCATTATTTCCTTCCCCTACCCCTTTTCCTGTCTTCCATTACTATACTATCCACTCATTTTTCCTTTTGTAATCTGGGTCCCCACTTCTTTTTATTGAAACAGCTCTTTCTCAGGTTACTGATGATCTGTCAAAACCAGTGGTGTGTTTTCCATCCACATCTTTCTGCAGCATTTGATGTTAGCGTTCACTCCTTTCCGATTATCTTCCTTACCTAGTGTAACCCCATGACACTGTTCTCTATCTCCTAGATTTTTTCTGACTCTTCTCAATGACCCATAGGATTGACAGCTATGAATCTGGAACTAGAAGATGCCTTAGAATCCAGATGAGTCACAGTCTCCATGAGGCCCATTAACACGTCTGAGTATGGCCTGAACTAGATTAAAATATAATTGGGAATTATTTAACAAAATTAATAAAAACATAAGATAATGTTAATATGTAGTTTTCTAAATCAATACGTAGACCCCAGGAATCCTTATGTGTAGTTTAGTGGCCTTTATTTCTGTTGATACGACTGATCTAAATCAACCCCCTCATTTCACAGATGAGGAAACTAAGGCCAGAAAGTCCTTTTTTGTCATTAATTTCTCCAAGTATATGTTGTTTCCTCCCCCTTCCCTTCTTCCTCCCGCCGAACCCCAGCCCCACAAGGCTTTTTCCTCAACCCTCTTTGTCTTTACTAGACCAGGAAGAGAACATTAGGGAATAGAAATGACTCCTTCACAAGGCGAAAGAGGATGAGGAAGTCCACTATGAAGCAAAAGAGTCCCATGGCTTCAGATAAGGCAAAGTACAAGCTGGTGGAGAAGGATTCCTGGCATAATCAATCATATGGCTTCCAAACACAGTCCTGATCCCAGCCCCAGAGCCAGCCACTCCCACCCACAGTGGTAGCCCTAGCCCCGATGAAACTGGCTGCTGTGTCAACATCCCTTTAGATGGTCCTGGCTTGGAAGCCACATCTGTTGATGAGTGAGGTCAGGGGACCTGAAGCTGCCGGGGCTCTTTTCTGTTTGAACCTCTGGTCGCTTCAGAACCACTACAGACAACAGCGGACTGGGCAGCCAAGAGCTGCTGCTCACAAGGGCAGGGCTAGAGATGAACTCAGCAGAGGCATACATTTTCATTAAGATTACGGGGAAAGAGCAGAAAAAACATTCTAGTTCTAAACTTCAAACTGTCTACTAAATTTCAAATCTCCATCTGGGTGTCCTGCCAACACCTCAGAAAAAGAAAGAAAGAAAGAAAGAAAAACATCTGAAATGGAATTTGTCATTTTTCCTCCAAAATCTGCCCCTCTCTTCCTCATTTTCTCAATTCTGTTGAAGGTATTAATTAGCATTCTTGCAGTCATTCAGGCTCAGAGCCTTAAAGTTGTCAGTTGCTAAGTTTTATTAATGTTACCTCTGTATCTATTATGTTCATGCCTTCTTCTCTGCTCATATTGCCACAACCTAGGTCAGGCCTTCCCACCTTTTGCCTGGACTATGGTAGTTGTCTCTACTTCTAAAATTTTCATCGATACTTTTTGATTTTTATACCGTAGTCACCGACCGATAAGATCACAATATTCTTTAAGGCGCTCCTTCATACATAGGAAAAAGGGTTAAGCAAAATCAGCCAACATCTTGATTGTATTTGACAGCAGCAGCAACTGTACACAATCAATAAGCATTTATTAGGTGACTACTGTGTACCAGGCACTGTACTAGGCACTACAGATACAAAAACAAAGAAATAAAAATCAAACAATTCTTTCTATCAAGGAGCTTACATGTACCTCTAAGTGCCCCCACTTCCCTACTGAGGAAAGAACTATGTTCCATCATATGCTCTTCAGGACCAAAAGCAGCCAATGCAGTTATCTGATATAATACATTATTATAAGGAATAATTTTATTTACATTATTATGATCATGTGTATTGTACTGAGGCAGCTAGGTGACGCAGAAGATGATAGAGTATGGAATTTGGAGTCAGGAAGAACTGAGTTCAAATTCTGCCTCATCCACTTCCTGAGCTGGGTGATCTTGGGCAAGTCACTTGACCTCTTTCAGCCTCGGCTTCATCATCTATAAAATGGGGACAATAATAGCACCTACCTTACAAGGTTGTTGTGAAGATCAATTTGCTGTGCAAACCTTAAAACACTATTACTACAACTACTATTATTAATATTATTCTGTTTACCAGCATCAGTTCATACAAATCTTCCCATAATTATCCACATTCCTCATATTTGCTATTTCTTAGGGCACATA